CTGCAGGGGATGAGTTGGGATGGATCGGTGGGAGCTGCAGGGGCTGAGTTGGGATGGATCGGAGGGAGCTGCAGGGGCTGAGTTGGGATGGATCGGAGGGAGCCGCAGGGGCTGGGTCAGTGCGATGGGATGGAAGGGTCGGGGCAGCTGGGAATGATTTAAAGCAGCCCCGTTGTGCTGCCTTCGCTCTCTGCCCGGAGCTGCTGCGCTGTAGAGTTTGAACTTGAGCAGTTTGAACCCGAGTGCTCCTGGTGTGTGCTGTGTCCGGGATGCACTGTCAGGGACAGGGAGAAGCTGTTTGCCTGGGGACAGGGCTGTGCTGTCCCCATGGAGCCATGCAGGGCTGTGGTGGTGGTGGTGGCACCCCAGGCTGTGAGTGTGAGTGTGCCACACCTGTGTGCACAACCCGAGCTGTCCTGCACCCACTGCCATCATCCTCCTCCCTTCACCCTCCTCTCCACCAGAGCCCAACTGCAGCTAAAGATAAAAACTGCAGTCAGTCTCCCCTCTTGGGAAGGGTTAAATGGACCCACAGAGAGAAAGCAGGGCTGGCTCTCTGCTCTCTGGCTGTAGTGGGATGCAGGTGCTGTGGTGACAAGTTTCCATGCATGTGTGCATGCCCGCAGCACACCCAGGCACACATCTCTGCAGGGATTGTTTTTCTTTTGGAGGACAAGTGTTGTTCAAGGGAAAATTTTATTACACGTGTCAAGCTGCAGCAATATGATCCGTGACACCAAGATCCCATTAAAATAATGGGCAAAAAGTGGCCCTGCAAGGATATTACTTGTCAGGGATGACCTCATCTGGAGAAAAAAAGGAAAAGAGTAACAGCTTGATGGTGATAATGTTCAGGGGAGGAGCATGCAGTGCTCCGTGTGTGCTGAGGGGGATCCCTGACTGTGGTCAGGTTGGAAACTTGTAAGCACCCACTAGAGCTAAGGGGGGACTCCTGCCATGAGGAGTCAGAGTAGAAGCTTCTGGTAGGCTGAGAGAAAGTCAAGTGTCTGACATGGCATAAAAATTGCTGTTTCATGTCTCCTCTGTGTCCCTGGTGTTATCACTTGGGGGAAGGGAGAGGAAAAGGGTTAATTCTCTGGTTTGCTTACCCAGGTACTGAACATATAACAGCTCTGCACTGATCACACCAGACACTGAGCCCAAGTTCTGCTGCTCATTTGGGAATACACCTTAGTGCCCTACCAGGGCACTAACACTCCATGCAGTGGGATATCTATGGTCAGACTCCTAGAGGACAGCCTGGAGCAAGGAGTGGGAGCAGAGGCAGCATCCATGGCTTCTTCTGATCCACAATAGAAAAGCCTTCTTCCATCAGAAAGAGGAGGGGAATTTTCCCTTCACTGTAAGAGAGCCACCACAGGTAGCAGCACCCACACTGGGGCCCTGGGTCTCAAGAGGTCCTAAATGACTCCTGTTGCTGCTCCTCCTCCTTGTAGCCCTGCTGTCAAAAGCATGTCCACTGTCAGATGGACTCAGCTGGAGATCAGATCTGCAAGGACACCTTGGGTTTTCCTAACACAACTTTGCAGTTGTGCAGTGTGGGTGCTGGGGAACCCTTTGGGAGCATCAAAGCCAGGACCAGAGAGCAGCTGACAGGGGACAGCCTTCCACTTCAGCTTGCCAAATTCTGGGAGGTGTGCCCCGTGAAGCAGCTTTTTGCACCTATTTGTGTTCTGGAACATCTTTAAATGCAAGTCTCTGGTACCTGACAACTTCTGATTGAAGGATCTGAGCTGAGCTGGGGGTGGAAGCCCACTCAGGTTCTGAGGCAGCCCCCAGCCTGCAAGCACAGAGCTGCATGCTTCCCCAAAGTCAGCCTTGCACCTGCAGATGATTCCTGCCAACCTGGCTGTGTGCCTGCAGGCAGGGTGAGGGCCCCAGCTTCTGACAGCACAAAGTGTGAATAATTCCGTGAGGGGAGGAAGAGCACATGAGCAGGTACCTGGTACAGGAGGTGCAAGAGTCTAGTTCAGCCTGTAACTGCAGGGAAAAGGCAGAGGATGCTTGAGATGCATCCCTTCCATGCTCTGAGCTGGGAGCACCGCTTTGGGGAAATGAAGTATGAGAGATGAAAAAAGGCAGGGAAATTCCCCGTGACCCATGGTGATGCTGTCCCACCTGTGCTGCACAATGTTGGGCAAAACCTGGTGGGACAGGGCTGGTTTTGAGGCTCATCCTGCAATTGCTACAGCTCCCTTCCTTCTCTGAGCCAAATGACAGCCCCAGGTGCTGCCACCTCCCCTCAGAGCTGCTGTGGGTGGCCTCTTCCCGGCCACCAAGCCCCAGGGTTGATAACAGTCCTGCTGGGGAAGCCAAAGCCAGCCTTGAAAAATCCTCTTCCTGCATCGTCAAGCTGGCAAATTGATTTTCCAGCTGAACCTCTGAAATTGTTCTCTTCTGAAGAGATTATGGAATTACTCCTGTGCTAATGAATGCTTTAATGTTACGGTGACTAAAGTCCCCATAAGGACTTTAACTGCCAAAAAAGAAAAAAAAAAGGCATTGTAGGAAAGGGGAGCCTGTGGTGGCTGGGTCAGACCTCATTTCACCATCTGGGGGAGAGGAGAGGAGGAAAACGAGAGGCAGGTGAGGAGACACGCTCAGGAAAATGAGGAGAGAGAAAATGAGGAGGGAGGTGAGGCTTACTGTGGTCTCCCAGGAAGCTGCTGAATCCATCAGGAATCTCTCCTGCATCAGTTTATCCCTCCATCTCTGCATGGAGGAAAGGTAACATGTTAAATATTCCCTTTTCACCATCTCTCTGGCTGTACCCTGTGGCAGCAGGGATAACTCAACTCCTGGTGAGCCAGAGCCCAGTCCTGGGGCAGGACCCCACCAAGGAGTTTGCCTTTTATTAGGGAGAGAATGTGCTTCTGGGGATGAGTCTGCACTGATGCTGCTGCTGCTCACAGAGCACAGTCTCACCTCTGGTTACAAAACCCAGTTTTGTTTCACTGTAACTCCATGGGTTGTCCCAGGTTGTCCCAGATTTGAGCAGGAGCAGAGTTAACCCCTAAGATGGATGGGATGGGGAAGCAGTGCAGGGAAAACACCTCCATGCCACAGGAGCTGCAATGCAAGGGGAAGGCTGGTTTCTATTTAGGTTAAGGGCTGTGCACAGAATGGGTAATCCTCTTTTCATGAATTATCCAGGGGATTAGACAGCTCTAAACTCCCTCAGGCCTCTCTGGCTCGGTGGGAGCCAGGGGGGCCATGGCTGGATGGAGGGAGGGAGGGAGGGAGGGAGGGAGGGAGATGCCAGCAGGTTGCTGATGACTCATTTGGCTGCTGCCAGCCTTGCCAAGCACTCCAAGAGGTCACCAGGGGCCCAGACACAGAGTGACACAGGAGTGACGTGCAAGGGGGAAAGGGAACATCCCAATTAGGAAAGAACACGGAGCTTTATAAATAATTGCAGAGACAGGGAGCGTGGCAGCAGGCAGGAGGAGGGACAAGAGACCCGAGGCAGCAGTTTTCCAAAGTGTAATATCCTTGCTAGACTTTTCCAAGCTGTTCCTCTAACCAGAAAAAGGGATGCTTTTGGAGCTGCAGCTGATCCATCCAAAGAGATGCTCCAAACCCTCCTGCTCGGGCTGGCTCAGCAAATGGGAACCTGGGCATGCAAGTCAGGCTCATCTGTTTGGAGGGGGAATGGATCACTGTCAATACTCCATTAAAATGTTGAAGGGAGGCCAACAGCACAGCCCAGGGACAGTGAGGGGGTGGGGAAGAATGGCATGCAAACAGGGAGGCAGGCTAGATTGCACCAAAACCTGAATGTTTCACTCCATTATGGAGCAAGTGCCCATAGCAGATTCTGTTCTTTACCTAATGCACTGACAGCTGCTAGAAAAAAATGGAGTCCTGTCACTAACCTCACCCTGAGAGCCCATTCATGCCACAGAAGAGATGTTCCTGACCCTCTGCATTTGGGTCTAGGGACAAAGTTTTGGTGGGGAGATGAAGGAAAAAGGCTCAGCTGTGCAGGCTGGGCTGTGGCTGACACCCAGCTCTGCAGGGATGACAAGGGGGTTCTTCCTCCTTGTGCCAAAAACAGTGGAAAAAGCCAGCAGGGAGGACCAGCTCATGAAACAGGAACAGAGTCCTTGTGTCCTAGCTGATTTTCTGTCCATGGGTTTGTGGTGGTGACACTCTCTTCCTCCCCTAACCTCTAGAAGCTGGGCTCTAGCTCTAAGCCAGAGTGGTTTGCCTTCCTTCACTTGGTTTTCCAGGCTGTAGCTAAGAAATCAGTGGGCTTTGATTTCCCCAATTCTCTTCACATTTACTGCTGCCTAGACATGTAGCCACCTTGCCCTGGAGTTACTGTGAACCCTCACAGTACAGCTCTTATCCCCCAGACTCAGCCTGGTCACCCTTGTCTGGTCTGTAGAAAAAAATCAAGTTTATTCATGGGGAAGCTGACTGCACCAAGTCACTTTATTTCCCTTGCATTTAAATCAATTTATTCCACTCTCTGCTGCTTATCCTACATAAGCTAAATCAGGATTTTGACCCTGTGTTTTCCCCTGCCCAGAACTGGGACAAACTGAAAGCCTTGTTCTCCTGTTCAGCATTTCCTCTTTTACTCATATCATCTAGAGGATGCTGTTTAAATAATGTCAGGGGAGCTTGAGTTGAAGAGGGAATTAAAGAACAGTCTGGGGAACAGGATGGGGAATTCTGTGTCAACTCCTGCCTTGCCCAGACACACAGGCTGGGTATCAACTGTGGCTTTTTTCTGCCTGGAAACTGGAGAAAGCCTGGGTGAAAGAGAGAAAGCAGAGAAGTGAAAGACCATGGAAAGTCTTTGCCTTTAATGTGAGCTAATGTCTTTCCTCCTGCGTTGAACATCCTCAATTTCCTGTTTAACTTAAAAGTCAACACATCTGTCACGTTAGCATCGCCCGCTGCCTGGTTTCCCCAAGCCACCCCCTCCCATCTGCTCTCCTCTCCTCTCCTCCTCCCTCCCTGCCTGTCTCCCATTGCTCCTCAGAGCCTGGGGGTGTGTGTGTGTGCCTGCACTGGTGTTTTCTGCTGGCTGAGGGGCTTTTCCATCGCTCCTGCCTCAGTCCCTGGGCGTGCTGGCAGCGGGATGATCGGCTTGGCTTGCAGAGCATTCGCTTCTAATCTCCGGCTTGTGGCATCCCAGCAGAGAGGGGCAAAGCTTGCAGGAGCAGCACTGCGGGCTGGGCAGAGGGGAAATGGCTGGTGAATGGATGTGCTGAGAGATTTCCTAGTTCTGGTAAGCAATGATGCTTTTCTCTCTTTGGTCCTGTTCTGGGCGATCAGTGCAGATGCAAAGAAATAGGGTTTAAAGGGGTGGAAAAGCAAAAGGAGGGAGCTGGAAAGAGACAGGAAAAAAATACCAGTGGAGCTCGTTTGGTTTGTAGTGAAGCTTTTCCAGGGGTCAGTGCTAATCAAAGCAAATTAATTACTGTTAAGTGAGAGGCTGGGAATCAAGCACATCAATGTGTGAGCCTGGGCAGTCCAGCTCTTGCTCACAGGCAGATCCATTGCCCACCCTGTATCTTTTTTCCCTTGTGATTTCCAGCTTGGTCTGATATTTTCCATGTAGTCCTATGTGAGCCCCTAGCTGAATGCTGCTTTTTCTGCCCTGTGCTTGTTATTGCAGGAGTTGTGGGAAGCAATTCATAAATTGCTGCCCCTGAGCTGATACATAAATCCTCTCAACTTTCCTAGCTGATCAACTATCTCCATCCTAAAGTCTGCATTTTTCACTGAAGCCAGTCCCTAAATTCTGCCAAGAGGTGCAGATAAAGATGTTTGGAAGGCAGAGGGTCTCACTGGACACTCGGTTGGGACCATGGGCTGTCTGATGTCCTGGACGTGGGATTATTCCAAATGAGAGGTTTGCATGTCAGTGTCTCGCAGGATTCTCAAAATAGGTGTCCTGCATCTCAGCTGAGTGACAGCAGAGCTCTTATACCAGGGATGAATTTAGGGCCCTTGTTTAAAGAGGATCAGGGAATAATAAACCTAAGAGCAGCCTTTGCAATCTGGCTGTATTGAATCTGCAAAGATCTGTACACAACAGAAACAAAAGGAGAAATGTAGCGGGGGAGCTTTAGCAATTTTTCTATCAGGTTCAAAGATATGACCTTCTTGACAGACCTGTGTTTCACACAAAAACTGATGCAGGATTTGGGCATACCAAACCATTTTTTTTCTAGATTTATGTATGACAACCAGAATTAGAACTAGTTCTGGAGAACATTTCAGAGCTGACTTGTTTATAAAAATATTCCTCTCATGATGTATTCATGCAGAAACTTCCACTTGCTGAAAACTCACACATTTCCTACTCTTTGATGTTAGATGCTGTGGCAATGAGAGTAAGTCACTTTGGGGTTTGTGATTATTTTAGAGCAACCTAGACATTTCAAGCACCAGTTTTATTATATTTAAAGAAAAAGATCCTCCTCTCTTCAGCAGCAGGTTTTGACTTGGAGTTTTGTTTCAAGTGTGCAGGGGGACAATCTTTTGAGTAAATCTGTGTGGTTAGCAGAGGGTGAAGAGAACACAGGGAACTGGAAGGGGCTTTGCATGACCAAATCCCAGCACAGGGCAAGAAGGAAAGAGTGCAGGTGCAGAAATTGCCCAATTTGTTGTATTTGGGGGTTGATAATGTGAGGAAATCAGAGAGGGCAGCTTTTGTGTCCTTTAACCAAAATACCATGGTTTGAAATTCCTTCATGTTACCTGGAACATTGCTTCTGAACAACAGTAATGTCTGTAAATTATTTTTCTTGTTGAAATATCTTCTAAAACCTGCAGTAATGTTGATGCCAGAGTGTCTCTGCTGTCAGTTTGGTGTTGTGAGCACTCATTTAGTCTTAGGTGCTGGCCAATGGTGACTGTGCTTTCCTGTCCCTCTGCAGTGCTGCCTGGCACAGTTAATTTCCCCTGTTTAATTAATGGCTCGATAATATTTATGAAGAAAAAAACCTCATACCCATGTGCGATAACTTTGGTGCTCCTGCCAAGATGAAATTCTAGGGCCAAATGAATATTACAATATGCTGGATATAGAGATGTTTATAAAGTTCCAAATTTCCTGAGCCATCCTGATTTGATAATGGGGAAGTGAAGGACTGATCCTAAGCTCTGTCTCTGGACATAAACAGGATGGAATGTGGTACAGAATTAATGAATTTTATGACTTTAATTGAGTTTTAGCCTTTTCTTATGGACATTTGGGTTATAAAGGATGGATTTCCCTTGTGAAAAAAAAAAATCCATTTGGTGAGGGCAGGGAGAAATATGGGATCTTAAATGAAGAATACTCCAGATCACTCCTGTGATGGCACTTGGCATCAGTCATCATCTCTTCAAGACAAGGCAATCAAGAAGATGGAAGATGAAACCTTTCCTTGCCAAGGGAGACTTGCGCATTATTTGATTGAAATTGGAATCCTGTCACCTCATGCTTGTCTCTCCAGGTTTTTCTTACCACATCTGCTAAATTCCCAGCAGCTATTTGTGCTTGAAGTGCACCCTTCCTCCCTCACAGCCCATCTGCTCAGCCTGTGTGTTCTCCCCCTGCAGTCACGACTTAGTGAGCAGGGTTATGGCAGAGGAAACTCACTGGTGTAGGGGAGAAGGAAGGTGGGATTGGCTGAGGTGGCCTTGACTGTGCTGAATTTGAAAGAGGAGCTGGGTTAAAACTGAGGGAAGAACCTGTTATGAATGAGATTTTAGTCAGAGAAAAGGAGCTGAGGAGCTCAGGCCACTTTGAGGACAATTCTTCTCTTTTTCTAGTACTGTCCCAGGGAATCTTTACAAATAGATGTCAGAGAGTCTCCAATATCTAAGGTGACAACTCACCTGGGCATGTTCCTGACTGCTCTAATGCCAAGGAGGGAGAAGAAATTACAGCTTCTCTTGCTTGGAGGAGGTTGAAATGTGAGAGCATTGTAGGTATTCAGAGATGTTTTCTGCTCACCTTCATGTGCCAGAGGAGATACCTTCATATCTGGAGATATGACTGCAGATAGAGAGGGATGCAATCAAGATCTACAAAGTTGTGAAGTGGAAGAGACAGTGTGGCTGCTGACTTCTCTTCTCAAATCCCAGACCCAGGCAATGTCAGAATTGCCTAAGAGAAGCCAGGTACAGCTCCAAGACACCTTTTGGCATGAGGAGGGTGTCAGGTCTGATGCTGGGCAGGCTCCTCCAGGAGCTGCTGCAGGGCTGTGAGGGCTCATTTCTCACTGATCCAGTGTTTCCAGCCAAACTTGGTGTTTTGCTGGGCTTCACAGCAGCTCTTGTGGAAGATGAGTTTGCAGAATCTGGAATTCAGCAGCTCCCAGCTGGGTGTTGGATGGATTTGTCCAAGCCTTTATTCCCAGCACAGCAGCTGCCTCTTTGGCCTCTAGGCTGGGAGTAAGGCATGGTGTGCTCTGAGCAGCACTGCAACGTGGAGATTTTCCCATTCCTGCCCTGGAGATAACCCCTGTGGGGTGTTCTGTAAAATGTGGCAGGTGAACAGATCCCTGCAGGATGTTTTTCACCCTGGGGAAAGGGCTGTGGGAGCCAATCTGCTTGTGCACACGACAGGCTCCACAGTCCTCCTGCTCTCTGCAGGTGAACTGAAGGCAGCTCCTCTGCCAGGACACAAGTGGTGTCTCAGGGTTTGCTCCCACCACATCCCTCCGGCAGCAGGGAAAATCCTGCCTCCTCCACGGGACACTTCTCCTGCCCTCTGTGGCAGGTGGTCAGGCTGCTGCAGATTAACTGCTGTAATTATTGCAGCTTACAGGTTCCTGACCTCCTGAACTCATATCCGAGCCCTTCTCAGGCATGCAGGGCTCTTCTGGTGTCTCCTCTATGCTTTGACACTCAGAGGAGAGCCCATAGAGGAGGTGGTGGTGACATTTTTGAGGAACATCACTTATTTTGCAGTTCTTTAGGCAGTCATGATCCTCCATCCTTGTCCTGCAGCTCCTGTGAGTCACACTCCCATGGGGAGCAGCACATCTGGGGAATCAGGTTAGAGGCAGATCAGATTTGATGCCTCCCAGGGGATGATTGAGCGTTTGGGAGACAAGAATGGAAGCCTGCAAGATTCTTCTCCAGCTGTACTTGGCACAGAGGGTGTGTTGTGCAGAATGGATGAGAGTTCCTACTGAGGGATAAAAGTTCTTTTAGATTTATAAACTATCCTGGGTGAGTGGATCCTGATGTCATTCTCAGGGCTGTAAATCCAGTAAAATAAGTAAAATTTCTCTGGCCTTATACCAGAACAAGACCTAGATGGGCTACTATGAGAGATATAGCACCTTCTAATGCAGTAAAACAAAAAGTGACAATTCTGCTCTGTACACAAAGTCCAGGGCTCTCTCTCACCTGATAGATGGGAAGCAAGAGAAGATGTGTGGCCACAAGAGGTGTGGGCTTTTTACAAAATGGCAATTGGTTCTCAAATGCTTTCAGCACACTACAAAGGAGGAAATCTGACCCAAATTCCTCTGATCTGCTTCCAGTGACAGTGGGAGCCAGTGGGATCTGCCATTTCTTGGGGGGGTTCATTTGTCCTTCTACACCCCCAAACCAATGCACTTGCAACCCAGTGCATTTCAGATGTTTCATCAGGACTGTTTCATTGCAGCAATCTAGTGTGCATTAATTATAAGCCTGTGTAAATGAGGTGTTAAATGATTTATTCCTAGACCCAGATTGAGAAATCCCAGTGGTTTCTTCTCCTGATGTGTAGCTGCTGTTGAAAAAGTCAGACTTGCTGGCATTGAGGAGGAGATGAGGATTGCAATTCAGCCCCAGAATTGCTGGGCTTGGTGCGGGCTGAGCCTCCCTGGTGAGCCAAGGCAGGCTGGGACCAGCATGCAAGGAGCAGGGAGCCCATCTCCAGCACATGCATGAAAATCCTGCTGTCACCCCTTCCAGACCCTGGCTCTTGGGGACTCTGGTGATGCCCTGACGTTGGGACACCCTTGGGAAGATGGGGAATGCCTTTTTACATTCTCAGAGCCAGAGGATGGGAATTAAGAGTCATTTTAATTAATCTTGTACTTACTATTTATCACTAATTTATCAGTAATTTACTATTTATTAATAAATAAATAATAAATTTATTTATTTTATAAATATATTTATAAATATATCTATATATAGCATATAACATATAACATATAATATATAATATAATATATATTATATATAATACATAATATATAATATATAATATATTATATATTATATATTATA